ATATATATATGTATGTATGAGATGTTTTCTCCATTGAATTTAAATGTTTCTTCATTTGTTTTTGTTTTTTGCTTACCCCTTTCCTACTACATCAGAGTATTTTAAGGGGAAAAGAACAGCAGGTCTAGCAAATAAGATTTCCCAGGTAAAGGAGAGGAGCCTTCTGTAGCGTTATAATGGAATTATCACCAGAAAAATTAGGCTGGCACTAAGTAGAAGAAAAGAGACTCTTTCTATAAAATCTCCTTCTATGATGCCTTTCTCAGAGTAAAAAGCTCTGTATATTATGTTTTCTGGGAATTTTAATTATCAAGCATTGATAAATAAAAATGTGAGAAGGGACCACATTTGACTACAAAAGTGGAGAATAGAGGAGGGATATTGAATGCTGATTTTAATTATTAGGGTGTATTAATCTGATTAAGGAAGATTAAAATTCTAATGAGTTTTGTGTTAGTTACTCATTTCACTGAATATAGGAGATTTTCACCAAGGGAAAATATTTTCTCCCTGAAATAAGTGATTGCATGTGTAAATGTCCATACTCTGGAAGTTTTCCCTGGCCTTTGAAAGGTTAAAACAAATACTTATGGGAACTTTTTCAAGACAGGTAAGGGCATCTCTCCAGCTTTTTTACTTCCTTTTTGGTTGTTTAACTGTTCCTTATGGACTAAGATTCTGTTGGTTGAGGAAAGACTTTTATAAGCTATTATTAAACCGTATTATGTATATTACATGTATATTTACACATATCTGTTATATATTTTACATATCTCTTTTATATACAAGTATGTATTATTTATACTTATCTGTTTAGCAGTGAATGACATTCACAGTAAATTCCATAGATATCCACCTTTGAGAGCTTAAAAGGAAAGTGACATATCGCTTTTTAGAAAACGGGATTCTCAAACAACATTTTCCTAATGTTACATATTATTCTGTTACTTATTTTCAGCTTCTTTAGACAGGGCTTGTATATCCACACGGCATAGTGATTTAGAAACAAAACTATGAAGTAAATTTGGCTTCTAAACTAGCAGGTGCATTCTGATGGAAAAATATATACCAAATTGATATTTCTACTTAAGGAAATCACTCCAGGCCTCCCTTTAATGTTGATTCAATTCTCCATGGTAACATTAGGAAGGATTTTTAAGACAGCAGGTATTTAAAACTGTCTTTGAAAATTGAACTCACTGATTTTTTTAATAGACATGAGAAAATTAATTTAAGTAATATCATACCGGATTGAGACACTCCATGCACCTCTCAAACACCTACCTCTCCCTCTTCTTGTTCCCTGCCATTTCTTCATTAAATGAAATAACTTGAGCTTCAGAAATACTTGTCATTTGGCACTTGACTTGCTTCACTTCCCGATTTCAGCTGGGACTGGAACCAGCAATTACTGGAAATTGTAAATTTACCCAACATATTTTCCTAATTAGAGAGTTTCCAGTAGAATTTGCATCTGTATTCAGAAGTTTGGAAGTTTATCTGAATTAACTTTTGTATTTTTTTGGATTCTGCCTTATTGATTATTCTCTATTTCTAATCAAACACTTGTTTGTAAAATGCCCCTGAAGGGGCAGATGGTCTCTGAAAGTTCCTCCCAGACCCATAATTCTGAGACACTTTAGAATTAACACTCAAGAGCAGGAATCACCCAAATAGACAGAATAAGATGTTGGCATTTCTTATGTCATCAGCAAAAATGGTTTGGCCCATTCCGAAGTG